GTGAATAGCTTGTGTTCTTTTAAATGGTGTTTTTAGATAACAGAGTTAAGTTAGTGTTCATACCATGTGCACCAGTGTTTGTCTAAAATATGAACGCAAATATCAGTATTAAAAAGAAAACAATGAATGGTTTAATCCAGTACGAAATGTCGAAATTCCATCAGTTTTCTTTCCTTCAGAGACATAATAGGGCTAATTTGGTAAGTAGGACCTACTATCATATATTCATCATCTTTATTCTTAAACTCTAGTAAAAGTTGTAATTAAAATTGTGAAATTTTATGTCCCATTTAATATTTAAGGTCATATTTTACACTTTTTAGGTCATATTTGACATAATTTTGGGTCATAAGTGCATGCATATATTTATAGTTTTTAGGTCATAAAAATCCGGGCCCTAATCATCACTGTTAAAACCACAAACTTTACTTTTCATTTATTACTGTTCCACCAATAAAAATTACATGTTTCCACATTATACTACACAGATGTTGCAAATCTCACTAACTGGACGTTTTAACATACAAAAAACAAAGAGTTATTTTCCTTTCTTTCATTCTACATGAGACTCATTTCAGTACCAGATGCCCTCCAAAAGCACAAGGTTTGATCAGCAAGTATGCCGACAATCTGTGGAAACTAAGATGCTGTACTTTCACACAGACTCAATATTTGTCTCATTTTGAAATAGTCACGTGCATGAGACATAATTCGCAATTCCCACGGCTAAGTGTTCAGGATGCTCATCACTTTTGATGGAATTAAGTGCAAGGTGCTTCTGTCCTGAAGACTGATGCAGTGTATTCCTCCAAAATGTTGGTGCCCAGCTTCCAGACCACACAGTATCATAACTAGGGACCAGATTTTAATGCAAATGCATATTTCTTTCTTGCAACCAGAAAAGTATATTTGTTTGGATATATGTATGAATTACTTCATTTCTTAAATTTTGGACATGGTTTGATGGTGCATATAAATGCACATTTTGCCTGTTTCATGAATAACCATCATATTTTCAAAGATCTCTATTTATACTGCATATTTCCTTTTCAAAATGTTTATCATATATATTTTTTAATTTTATGTTCAAATTTTCAATCATGGTCGTGTGTATACAATTTTTATTTTCCGTATTAGAATATGTTGCATATTTGACTAAACAATTCATCATGAGTCATGTTACTGATGCAATACCCAGGACGGGACTTGCCCGATCCCTCTACTCATAACTTTCCTCATCCGCCTACCATCAAAGTGGCCGCCAAGAGATTAGTCAGAAGCATTCACATGTATAGCTCTAGTACTTAGAGGTGACATAGCCGCAATCAACGTAATACTATTCAATCGATAAGGGGCTCCACTTACTTATTTCCAAAGTCTCCATGAAGTTCATTACGCTTCTTCATTTGAACCTGGGGGCAATTCACATTAGTGGTGACTAGTCTGTAGTTAAGTGTGCTTAGCTTTCTGTAGTCATGCCGAAAGTGAAAGTAAGTCAGAAAACTAAATTACAGCTGTATCAGCGGGACATCGAAGGAGAGATGATAAGTACAGATAACGAAATTCTTTATTTCTAATAATAGTTCTTCAGTTTTCCTTTTATTTATGCGAAACCTTTTTAGCGGCAGATATTCCGCTGTGGAAACTAACCAGTCCTACTCTGAGAAACTTCATAGAGAAGTATACACAGTGCAAAGTGCAGGATGAATCTACTGTGCGCAAAAATTACGTGAAGCAGTGTTACGATCTTACAATTGAAAGCATTGAGAGATAAGATTCAAGATAATTTTGTGTGGGTATCAATCGACGAAACACAAGATTGTGAGGGACAGTTTATTGCAAATTGTATAGTTGGACACCCTTAATAAGAATGAACAATCTACCCCACATCTTCTTGCGGTAGAGCAATTTGAAACCACAAATAGCTCCGCAGTTTCCGAATTTTTATCAATTCCATGAATTTACTATGGCCGAATGACATTCAGTATGAACGCGTATTGCTCTTTGTGTCTGATGCCGCAAATTATATGATGAAAGCCGGTACTGCTCTTAAAGTCTATTTCCAAATATGACACATTTGACTTGTCTTGCCCATGGTTTTACACCGTGTTGCAGAAGCAATTCATGCAAATTTTCTGCTTGTTGACAAGTTGGTGTCTTCTGTGAAGGTGTCTGTTAAAGCACCATAGAGAAAAGAAGCCTTTAAAGCAGTAGCACCAAGCATTCCACTTCCACCAGAACCAATTTTAATGCGCTGGGGCACGTGGCTGTGTGCAGCGAGTTATGAATGTCGTGAATACATTTGATCCCAAAAGTGCAGCATCAATTCAAATTGCCCAAGATGTACTAAAAAACGCAGAACTAGAAACTAATCTTTCCTATATATCTGCTCACTTCTCTCATCTTCCATCTGACATTACCTCACTGGAGGCAAGCAATAGCAGTACTACTTTGTATCAGTCGTTAAGTGTGTTCAAAACCACTGTTTCCAAATTGAATTCGGTTCCTGGAAGAGTTGGTGAAGTAGCAGAGGAAAAAGTACACAACATTCTTTAAAAAATCCAGGATGTGAACGAATTTGTGAAATTGAAGAAATTTTAGCTGGTAAACGTACTGAACTGCCAAGTAAAAAATCACTAACAGTGGGCAAATAACGGCTTTTGTACATGCACCCCTAAGTTCCTGTGATGTGGAAAGAAGTTTCTCCCGCTATAAGGACATCTTATGAGACAAGAGAAGGAGACTAACTATGGAAAACCTAAAACATTTAGTATTTATGAACTGAAACAGAAGAGAAGTTGAAAGTTCAAAGAGCTAAATGTTTTTTAATTTTGTAATGAAATATGTTGGCTTTATTGCATAATTTGTATTTAAGCACAGCTTTTTATTGCAAGTGAATCATTCAGTGATTACATAAAATAAACTTAAATATTGATTTGTTGGTCTTAAAATAATGTAAAATAAATTTTAATATTTGGTATAAATTTTTATGTGCATATTTTAGTGCATATTTCGGAAGTTTTTCATGCATAAATGCATACATATTTAAGGGATTATTAGGGCATAAAAATCCGGTCCCTAATCGTAACCCACAATATGAAAGTCAGGACATGTTCACCATCCCATCATAGTTTACATGAAATATGAATTCAGTCTCAATATTTTTCAATCAGTTTTCATGTGTAATGGTGAACTGATAACTGGTCTCACTTGCATGGGAAACCTGTCAACCTATAGAAATCCCTTTACACACACATTTAATGAGAACTAAAATGAAACATACTGCCTCAGCACATACTTGATGTGCACATTATGATCATCATCATCACCACCACCATCATCATCATCACCTAATTTTGCTACAAAGTTAGAGAGGCTCATACCTGAAGTCCTGTTATGGCTGCCTCTCTCACCCATGATCCAATGTCACCACGACCGTCCATAGTATATTCTGCCAGACCCTCCAATAAACATCCATATATATCGTCTAAGTGTTTTGTGAGCTCTGTGAATGCCAATAAATACAGCGTGTCCAGATGAAAAGTATACAAAATAAAAAATTTATATCTCAGAAACTGTCATACATGTATCCGGTTTATGTCATCAGTGAGGAAAACTGTAAGTTTTTTTCATGATCAGATTACGCGCATGCGCCAATCACAGGAAAACCTGTGTTCTAACAGAGATTCAGCCAACCTGTTCAGTTGAAGTAAGCCATTCACAATAAGCAATGATGAAATGAACTGCAATAACATACATACAGATTAGCTATGACCAATTTCAGAACATGTGTTACAAGGATCATAATGCTCCACACTTTTCTTTTGTCAACTAATGATGCAGATGGATTTTAAATCTCTTCTTCAACTTCAGCTGCAAGAACATCAGATGCCATGGTAAAATTATATTCAGGATTTGTTACGTCCTGTACATAGTCTTCAGTTTATTCTTAATGCTACAATACAATACCTGTACTCCCTTCGTGTAGTAAGATATCTTCAAACTGTGCAATATACTACACAGGGTGATTCTAAATTATTGTCAGGATTTCCATGACCTATAATTCTGAAACCGGAAAAAACAAAATAAAACTGCTTATGGAACATGAAAGTGTAATTCAAAAAGTTTTATAATCTGTAGAATCAATACTACATAATACTAACAACTTCAACATGTGCATATTTCATACCATGTAAGGTTTGAAAATTATAGACCATGGAAACCACGACAATAATTTAGAATCACTCTGTATGTCTCCTGTTCCTACTATCTGTGTACTTAATTGAAAATAAAGGCAGAGCTGAGGGAAACCAAAATTACCTGACCCCAGGTCATTTTCACCAGAAACAGTAGAGCAGATTGAAATGAGGGCCTTCAGGGCATCTCTGCGAGTTTCTGACCACCTCACAGTAGACTCAGTAATCTTTGAGCATTGAATCAAGGCAGGAATCACCATGTGAAGATGATCATCAAACATGAATTTAGGACATGAACCTGTCAAGTAACATAAAAATCAATTAGTTCTTTCTGCATGACAGCAATACAATACAAATCTAACAGCCACTTGTGTATCTCTCAAAACATGCTTCATACAAATACTGTACTTCACAAGTGATATTTAAAGAAGTAAAAAAAAAAAATTATAACCTGCATGATGCACTTCAACATACACAATTTAGTGTTTACCATATAGTACTTACCACACTTACAACTGAGGCCAAAAATGCACTTATTGTTGGTCTTAATAAATTCTCTTGCATCAAACAAGCAAGCATATTTCTGGAGCCCTGAATCCAACAACTACAACTGTTTAGTAACATGGGCAGAAGCAGTACAAGAATATCTCTAAAAACCCGAACTTCATAATTCATACCATTCAGTAATACAAGCAACAAGAATGTGAAAATATCTCTGGAACCACGATCTTAACAACTATGACTATTCAGTAATAAAAGCAGCAATAATACAAGCATCTCACTTAACCTCACAACAAACATATTGTTAAAAAAATGTAGCAACAATACAAGCATATCTTTGCAACAGTTGCGGCAAAAGGTAACAGAGGAGATGAAAACAATGTACAGAACAGGATAAAAGCGTCATATTATTATTGAAGATGGTATATTATATATATTATATTATATTATACTCAATTATGACTTATGGACTAATATTTTGGGGAAATTCTCATTATGGCAACATAGTTTTTAGACTACAAAAAAAAAGCTATTAGAATTATTATGGGGATTAGCGATAGAGACTCATGCAGAAAATATTTTAGAGAACTAAAAATACTACCACTAAAATCTCAGTACATATATTCACCTTCACTGTTTGTGATTAATAACAGACACCATTTTAAAGTAAATTCTGAAGTACACAATATTAATACTAGGACCAAATCTGATTTGCATCATCCATCGTCTCATCTGTCAGTTTTTCAGAAGGGATCTTATATTATGCTGGGATTAAAGTGTTTAACAGCTTACCTATTCCAATAAAAGATCTGTCCCATAATACAAAGCAATTTAAATTGTTGGACAAATATTTTAAACACAACTAAACTTTATAATGCTGTTTATATGGTATATTGTATAAAAGACTTTCAACTGATATTTTTATAATTTCTACAAAATGAACTTATTAATATTATTATTATTATTGTTGTTGTTGTTGTTGTTGTTGTTGTTGTTGTTGTTGTTGTTGCCTGAGCGCTCAGAGTGAGCGGACGTGCTGTGCTGTGTGCTCCCACTACAGCTCTTCAACTTCAGCTGCAAGCTTCTGTACAATGTCTCTGTGTTACACAGTGCGTGAACTTAGCCTGCTCCTATGGGGGTCATTCGGGATACTTGTTCTATATGTGTCAAGCTATTTTATGGTAAACAAAAGTCTGTTCGCTGTGGTACATGTGACATAAGATTTCACTCCATGTGCGTGCAACTGGGTGAGGCCGGCGGGTGAGTCTGCTTTCACGTGCGATGCATGCAAGCTATCACTCAGCTCTAGCAACACTAAGGATTTGGCCAGCTCAACTGGATCTACATCTCTGCCTCCTGAAAGTGATAAGCCTCACCCTTCATTGAACACAGAGTACGCGATCTCCACTGTAAGTACCCAGCTCGAAGCTGTTCGCCAAAATGGTCAATCCATGCTGCACTTGATTGAGTCCCTGGTGGGCATGGTCAGCAAGTTAACTGAAGAGGTTGCCTACCTTAAAAATGATAACACATGCATGAAAGAGGAAATCAAGAGTCTGCATAGGCTTATTGTGGCTGCCCCTGGGCCTTATGCTGCAAGTGAACTACGCATTCCACCTGCGGTAACCAAGGACATGGTCACTACTCAACTTATACCGTTAAGTGCACCTAGAATCGCGACCCTGCCTGTTTCTCCTCTACCTGCTGTACCTGCTACTGCGACCTTGGCTGGATTGTCATACAGGGATGTTGTAGCAACTGGAAGTTCTTCCGCTGATGCCGAAGGCTTTAAAACTGTCACGTACAAAATGAAGGCCCAAGCCAAGCTCCCCCCTGCAGATATAGCCGCAGTCAGCACTGGCAGACATCACAGGCAGCTACTTATTGGGGTTCGTAATTCTCCATCCCTGCCTGCCATTGCGAAGAAGGAAAGACAAAGGCACTTTTTGTTTCTAGATTTAGCCCCGAGGTCACTGCCGTTGATGTACACAAGTCCCTCAAGGAGCAATTAAGCCTTAAAAAGTTGGTCTGCACCAGACTTAGAACTAAATTTAACACTTACGCATCCTTCCATATCACTGTTACTGAGGATGAATTTTCGCTAATCAATGACGTTGGTGTCTGGCCTTCAGGATGCTTAATTGCCCCGTATTATGGTAAGCTTGCGCCTGACCAAGTATTTACCCCCAGCACATCTGAAGCTGGAGTGTCTGATGCTTCCGTTAAATCTGCCGTTAACCCAGCAGGTAGATGGAGGCTGCTCGATATCCATCTAATCATGGCTGGTTACAACGACTCTAGCATGGATGGTTTGGTCATGTCTCGTTCTAAGTCTGCCAGCTGTCTCGGAATATATTATCAAAATGTAAGAGGACTCCGGATGAAATATGTTGAATTTTATGATAATGTTTGTTCCACAGATTTTGACATTATTTGTCTGACTGAGACTTGGCTTAACGATTCGTGCTATGATTGCAATATATTTCCTAGTAGATATACCGTTTACCGGTCTGACCGGGTATCCACCAGCAAAGCTCGTGGTGGTGGTGTCTTAACAGCCATTCCCTCCAGCTTGGGTTCCTGCAGGCGCAGGTATGATTTAGAACTCTGCTCTGAATGTGTTTGGGTTGAGATTCCCACAGTTGACA